CTGTGCCACGCCCTCCTTGAACCCCTACATCACAGGGGGCTTACCAGATATCCTGGCAAAAGCAGGGGATGTGAGGTAGGGTCTACCTACATTACAGGTGTCAGCTGTCACAGGGAGGTTGTGTAAACATGGGCAGGTCTGTGCTGAGCGTTAGCGTCCCCAAGGTTACAAGAAAAAGGCCTTTCCCCTACTCTTGGGGCTGTCCACATCCAGCCACCACAGAGGAGACGGTGCTCTAACGCCCCAAAGTCTCACATGAATTAGTATGCCGACTATCATCCTAGGGCCCTGGGGGAAGAAAGATAAATACTAGTGATGGGGGCAGCTTCTGGCATGAATATTTATACATACACTCCCTGAAACTCAGCAGCTTTCCCTGCTCACTCGAGACCTCCTAAGACTTATAATGACTTTAAAATCCTATATTAGACAATCATATTCTTCTCTGACCAAATCTGCATAAGATTGTAGCCTGAAATTTACATTTTAATTTAGAATTAGCTGACAAGGACAAGGAGCCCTAACCACACACCAGTGTGATCTAGCCACAGTGTCTTCAAACTCTCTATGCAGACAAAGAGCTCCAGGGACCTCCTGTCTCCCTAAATGAACTGAATCAGTGTTTGCTCTCAGAGAGCACACAATCAAGTGCAGGAGTCAGACAAGGGGCCAGACCATCGAAGCCCAAAGTAGTAAACGCAAGGATGGACTCAGGCCTGCAGCCCAAGAACCCAGAGAAATGATTTCAAGCACAATGAATATTATAAACTACTTCAAATACCCAAAATACCTACATTTCCTTAATTTCTCCACAGATGAAAAAATAGGCTACATTTTCCATATTATTAGATGGGTAAATCACCGGTAAAAATGTTCCCTTTATTCCCTCAAACTCCCATCTGGATATAAACTAGGACAGGGCAAGGAATGAGGGATGAGAAAGGACTGAGAGGCAAGAGCTGGAAGACAGAACACAAAGGAGATCCCAGAAACAGGCCAGATTACACTCATGCATTCATTTTAAAGCTAAAACCACCCAAACAAGGAGAACAGGCCTGTGACCAAAGCCTGATCTTATAGTACATCCTCATGGAGAGGTATACAGCTCATGAAAACACATTTGTGTGATCTCTGTGCATATGCATGTCCAGAAAAAAGACTGGAAGGATGGACCTCCGACTGGAGTCACGCGATCTCTTCCTATGTATCCACACAGCTAAGTGTCCGGATGGATGTACACCCCAATGGTATCATCAGAGATTAGGTCTGGGGCTGGGGCTTGGAGTGAGTTTTTCCCTTCTTTATACCTTTCTATCCTCTGGGTGTTTTATATTGTGTATAGGTTAATATTCACAATTTTAAAAAATAATGCTATTTCCATTATGGGTAAAAACAAAACAAAACAAAAAAACCCACAACACTTTCACAAGCTGTCACCAGTGAATTCATAATATGTTTGTGGCAGAGATGGGGGTGCCAGTCAGAAAGCCAGCTGAGCCAAAAAGGTAAGTAAGTTCCTGAGTTCAGACCCACACCCCATCTGGTCGTTGTGTGATGGCTGAAAGTCTCTACTTAGAGAAGTGATCATCACCACATGTCACACATTTATTGTTTAGGGCTGAAAGTCCACAGGGACTCGGCACTAACACCCAGTTAGCATCAGAGCAGATTAGTGAACAACCCACTAGTCATAAGAGTCACCCCCACAAGTGAATCCACCTTCCATGCCTAAATGAGAAAAAAAAAAATCAAAGAAATATTGAAAATACAATAAGTTTCTATCAAGTTTAGTCTTTAAAAATTCTCTACTTGGTCAGATGAAAGCCAAAGAAACTAAAATCTTCAAAATCTGATGTCCTTTAAATGCTTTTTAATCACTTGACTATTGTGGCCGTTATCCCACTTTTTCCACAGGTCAAAAGTAATTTGAAAACATCACTATTCATGAGTTCCTCTGACTCCCCACCAGCTCCCCAAATATTGACTTCCATTGATTTTCAATGACCCTGAGCTCTCCGATGTGGCCATTTGAAAGTACTGGAGCCCATCTGAAAACAGACACATAACCGCAAATGGATTAAAAAAGCACACCTGAAAAAAATAATAATAAAAAAAGTACACCTGTTTTCCTTGAGGGGGGTGGCCAAAGCTCCAAGGGTGGCCGAGAGGCAGGACTCTCAAGCAGCAGTGTCAGCGAGAATGTGCTACTGAGACCCTAACTCCTCCCAGTGCTTCACGCCAGACACTGCCTTTCTCCTGCACTGTCTTGCTCGAGCAAGACATATGACACCTTTTAGGATAGATGTCACCATTTCAAAAATGAGGACAGAAAACCATAAATAAAGGGGAACTGAGTGCGTATGTCCAATACATAATTGGCAGAGCAGGGATTTCAATATAGGTCTTCTCACTCTGCACCCTACCGTATTTCTTCTAAACCAGAATGCCGTGCATTGAAGCATGGACAGACTCAATCAGAAAATGCTTGTAATTCAGAGTTCATGGGGAGCCGACCAAAACGCTCACCTTGTATAAGCTCGCATCACAAAAAATTAGTGCAAAAAGCCAACGTTATTTTCAAGCAAATTCTCTAAAGAAAATTTTGGTATCAGAATCTATTTAAAAGATTGGAGAAGGGTTCCCTTAATTAGGTTACAGCTATCCTATTATAGAGCGGCACCCTCCATGTTATTAAATATAGATTTCATGGGGGGAGGGGAGCCTTTAGATTTCAAAGGCCAGTAATTTTTTTTAATGTGGAAACTGATTTAGGAATTAAGATTTTTAATCTGAGATTTAGTTTGGGAATTGGGAATCACTTTTGATTTTTGGTTTTTTGTTTTGTTTTTTTAAATGTATCTTTATTGATTTCAGAAAAAGGAAGGGAGAGGGAGAGAGAGAAAGATAGAAACATCAATGATGAGAGAGTCATTGATCAGCTGTCTCCTACATGCCCCACAGTGGGGATGGAGCCCGCAACCCGGGCATGTGCCCTGACTGGGAATCGAACTGCGATCTCCTGGATCCTAGGTCAATGCTCAACCACTGAGCCATGCCGGCCGGGCCACTTTTGACTTTTGAAAGTCAAAATACAGATGACCTACTACAGCCCAAATGACAGTCAAAAGACAAATATACTTAATAGACAAAGAGCTATTGCAAATCAAGTAGAAAAAGATAAACTCAATAGAAAAATAGTGAATACAAAATGTCAATTCACATAAAAGAAATACAGGTGACCAATAAACTTGATAACATACTCAGCCCCAGTCATGATTTTAGAAGTGAAAATGTAAATAATGGGGGATCCATTTTTTACCTGTGATACTATCAAAAACTAAATGTTAGTAAGAGCCACAGTCGTGGGGAAGACACAAAATTGATGGGAATGTAAATCGGGGCAACTTTTTTAGAAGGCAATTTAGCAATGTCCACGAACATTTAGAAGACACATTTTATGGCCCGACGATTCCACACATACACACACACATACACATACACACACACACACTTAGAGATACAAAAAGATACATGTACGAAGATGTTTAGTATAGCATTCTGTATAACAATAACAAAAAGCCCTGAATGTCTATCAGTAGAGTACTTCAATAAAGTACTGACATCCAAATAAATGTAATAGATCCATATGTCTAATAGGGAAAGAATCTCCAAACTATATTTATAAGTATACATAATATGATCCCATTTGTATAAAAATAGATGTAGATGTAGATACAGATATATATACACACACACTAACATGTGCCTTAGTTTACTAGAATGACCTATAAGATCAGTTAAGAGCAATCATCTCTAATGATCAAACATGGCAATAGTGGAGATACGTTATGTTCTTTTTATATTATCTCCTTCTGTCCTGTTCTATAAAAAGTAAAAGATACATATAAAAAATAGTAACTGCCACGCCTATATATTTATAACATACTGATGAAATATCCAGAACTCCTACTATAATTCCTGGAAAATAAAAGAGGCCAGAGGGGGAAAAAAGCTCTGTGATAACCCAGATTCTACGCGGGGCACGTTAAGAAGGGCATTGGGCTGACTGCAACTGTAGTAAGCACGGCAAGAAAAAAAACAGATGTCTCTAGAAAGAAAAACAGTGAGCAAAATCCTGTAAAGGAATCATTTCAGGTTGTATTTGGAGGCAGAACAGGGAGATCTAAACTAAGCAAGACATTTCCTGGGGCCCTGAGCAAGACAGCAGGCAGGTTATAGTAAATGGAATCATCGGAAATTTCAAGTGTGGGTCTTTCTAGCTGATGTATGGAACATGGAAAAAGACTGCAATTAGACAAAGCAACTAAACTTGAACTAATGATATAAAAGGGATAGGACTTTGAACATTAAAATTAGTATTTACTGCCCTGAATAAATTCATTTTGCAATGATATCCTGTACTTTAAAGATTGGAAATCGTTGAATAACCCATGAAAATGCCCACTTCCTATCTCCCTCACATCTGATCCCAGATCTCATACAGTATCCCGAGGAGAAAATAATTCATAGCTGGGTGCCAGATTACCCGAGGACATTCTTACGCACTTAGCATGCGGAAGCTCCTGGCTGAGAAATTAATCCATTTGGGAGTCTATACTTAAGGATCAGCGACAACAAGGCTTCATGAACAGTAAATCTGACTACTCCGCCTCCCCACAATGAAATCATCCACGTAAGCTTCTCAACAGACCAATTAACAGCTGCCTAGATTGACAACAGGGAAAGCAACAGAATTATCTTTCCAGGACCGGTTCCAATAAAATACCAGTGTGCCTCTTCACTCTACCCACAGGCAAATCCTACCACTCTTCCCTTGGCTTTAAACGTAAATGTAGCACGACAAATATGAATTCCACTATGGTGGATCCCTTAAAAAAATTAACATGAAAAACAGCTTCCCCAAAGAGACACATACTTGGGCTAGAGGGGAGCCAATCCCAGTCACTGGAATGCCTCCTGGATTCCCCATAGTTACTTACCTTGGAATTCATTTCCATGTGGTATTTGGCACAAGCGCGAAGCTGAGTCACCCAAAGCTGTTTCTCTTTTGCATCAGCAGCTAAAATAGAGAAAGAAATGCTTCAAGAGACTGTTTCAAAACACATCCAACCTACTTCTACACCCACCTAAGGAGGTGGGGGGGGGCAAAGGGAGTGAGGGGTACAGGGAGATGGAAGGGAAAGCCAATACCGATCTCAATATTCTCAACTAGCCTGTCCTTATGTCAAAAAAACAAATTAACGCTAAATTTCAACAGAAAATCCCCTCTTACGCCACATTTAAAATGTATTCTGAAATATCTGTTATAAGAACAATTTTGCCTCTTTTTAACCTTCTCTGAAAAAGTTATTTCTGCTTCTTTAAAAGGGCAGCAAGGAAGGGAAAACCTGATTATTTTTTAAATGCCTCTGCCACATGTGGCTAATATGAGGATCGAAGTACAGCTTTTCAGAGCCTTTTTTGTTATCTATCAGAGCGTACTATGGAGGTATTAGCATTTACAAAATAGTCATTCCGTTGAATTACCATTTTAATATGTGTTCTCAAGGATTCATATTAGGAATGGACAAAGCAAGACACCAAATGCTGCCTGAGAGGTCCTCAAATTTCTCCCAAAGAGACAGTCAAGTACAAGTCAACTGCATCATCATAACCGTCCATCATCATAACCGTCCCCAATCTCTCAAGTACATAAAATTCTTTCCTTAAAATAGTATGGATGCATAACAGGTTCTAATAAAATGTAAATCTTCAATTTAAGTGAACAATTAACTTTATAAATATTTTAATATATTAATTAATTGCACAAATGTTGACTATGCAGAAAATAGAACATTCCCTTAGAAATTATAATTGTTTACAAATATGGGCCTGAGCATCATTTGTCAACAAAACCCAATGTCAGCTTGAACCTATAGGTGAAGAAATCTCGAGCTGCAGACAGTGTGAGACCAGGTGACCTTAATTTCCAAAGACAAAGGATTTTGCAAAAACCAGCGGCTTTGCTCCTTAAGAAACGTGAAGAATTAACTGCCATTTTGTGGTAGAACCGTCCAAAGGCTCAGCACTAAAAACATTCCCAAAAGCTGTGCATCTAACGACTTCAGGATTCAACTCTGTGTGTAGGTGAGATGTGAAGTGAGAGAAACAGACACCCAGATCCTTGTGGGATGGGCAGAGAATCAGCCATAAATATGCAGAAATCTACCCTGTCCTTTCTGTAACTGCCAAGTTTAAGTTCATTAAGCCTTTGTGATAATTTCATGCAGATAATAAGACTTATATTTGCTATTAAAACTACCCTTAAAAAGAAGAGCTGAGGTTTAATAATCCAGAGACTAACCCAAAGGCAAAATGAGATGGCTCAATTGTAAACTTTGTCGGGTTTTCTCTTTTGCATGGTTTATGTCATTGTGTAAACCACAGGCGGGG